ATAAAGTTCAGTAAACTATTAATAATAGTGGGTTATCCATAGGACTGGCAATGTCAGAAGTTGTTGACTTGAGCCTTTCACAGCTAAGCATATTAATATACCTTTACTTTTTATACTTTGTTTATATGCTTTTCTGCTGGATTGTTAAGATCAAGATAAAGCAAAACCTATATAACAAGAAATGTATCATTTGTATCTGGTTAGGTCAGTCAAGTCTCCTCAGGATTTCTCCTGTTACCCTGTACCACAGTTTGTAGATCCTTTGTCAGTTTCAGCCATGTGGATGAGTCACGATCATTGCTTTACCAGTTTGCTCTGTGTGAAAGCCTCAGAGAATGATTTTTCTCCATGTGACTCTCCTTAGGCACACTCTATGTCCTCGATCACATTGCTGTCTGGTCATATTATCTCCTTCCTGAGAAAATGTGGGATACAACTGAGTTACATGGTGTTACAGTACAGGTTGTCCTATGTCCAGAGTTTTCATTGAACTTGAAAGGCTAGGGTCAAAATGTTGGCTGTCCGTGCAGATCTTCTTTTCCTCTAATTTTTGGACTGCAAACTGAGGTTTTTAACCCCCGGAAGAGAAGCTTTTTATTATTACCCTACAACACAGACAGTTGAGGTTATCCTCACTATCTGTCTGAATGTCAACCATCTTAGGTATAACATGGGACAGGTATTTTACATCAAGTATTGATATGTTGAACTTTAAGTCTGTACAGAATATGCAGATAAAAAATTAGAAATATATTTAAAAAATAGAAATATACAATTGCATATGTTAACACAGGAATTTAGAAATGTAACCACATGCAGCATGTTAGCAGGAAAATCCTGTGACTTTTTTTTCCTTGTCTCTTGTTTTGATTTATTACCCTTATTTTTAAATTAACATTTACTTGAGAGACAGTATGGTAGTAATTGTTATGTCATGACAAACAGTACGTATTTAGAAGTATAGAATATCAGGCATTCCTAGCACGACCCTGCTATTACACATTGCTATCTTCAGTGCAGTTGCTTGGTTCACAGGTATTAGCATATATAGTTGATAAGCGTGAGAATCCTACCAATTGAATGCCAGGCTCAAAAACCTTCTGAAGATTTTCAGAATCATTGTCTTAACAATCTTGTGCATATAAATGCATGGCTTTGCCACTGTTATCTGTGTAGAGGAATGCTACTGACTTTTGAGTATTGACTTTGTATCCTGCTAAGCTGTTGAATTTGTTTAACAATTCTACTCGCTTCTTGGTGGAGTTTTTTGGGTCTTGCAAGTAAAGTATCATGTCATTTGCAAAGAATGATAATTTAACTTCTTTACCTATTTTTATTCCTTTTATTTTTCTCTCTTGTCTAATGGCTCTACCTAATGATCCCAGAACTATATTGAATAGGAGAGGTGACAGAGGACATCCTTGTCTTGTATCATATCTAAGAGTAAAAGATTTCAGGTTTTCCCCATTTGGAATTCTGTTAGCCGTTGGGTTGTCAAACATAGATTTTATCAGATTAAACTAGAGGTCATTTATTCCAATTTTCTGTAGGACTTTGAACATGACTAAGTGTTGGACTTTGGCAAAAGCCTTTTCTGCATCAATTGAGATGATCATGTGGTTTTTAGATGTGGCTCTATTGATATAATGTATTACATTTATTGATTTGCGTATATTGAAACATCCTTGCATCCCTGTGATGAAACCTTCATGGTCATGGTATATTATCTTCTTGATCATTTGCTGTATTCTATTTGCTAGGATTTTATTGAGGATTTTGACATCTATGTTCATGAGGGAGATTGGCATTTAGTTCTCTTTCTTAGTTGCATCTTTCCCTGACTTGGTATCAGTTTGATACTTGCCTCCAGGAATGATTTTGAGAAGATTGCTTCCTTTAAAATTTCATTGAAGAATTTGAGGAGAATAGGTATTATATCTTCTATGAATCTCTTGTAGAATTAGGGTGTAAATTCATCAGGATCTGGACTGCATAACATTCATTCTAAGTACCCACATGCTGGGTACTGTATTCCAAAACAGATGGAATTTGTCATGCAGACTTTAAATCCTTTAACCAGTGGCTTACTGGTCAGCATCTCTTAAGTTAACATGTATAGCAAGGATACAACATTTTTAGTAGATTTTTATGTGAGGAATAAAATGTTGAATTTAAGGGTGAACTAAATCTCTTGTTGTCAATTTGAGCCTACTACAAGCTAGAACTGGAGCAGAGAAATCAGGGCACTCCACTTTTTTCATTTCTATGATCCAACTTATACTTCCTTTTTATATTTTAAAGAATACAGAACAATGATAAGAAACAGCATTAGAAATGGTACAAAATTTCACTAAACGAAGTAATAGGAACTCAACAATGTTTCCTGTATTGCATGAAGTTATCACTCAAAATAGTTGTTCAGATCCACGATGTTTGCATTTTTGTTTCAGACCCACTAGGTTTGGATATATTCCTTAGAAGAGACTCCACAATATAGGATGTTGCTTTTTCTCTTCTTTTCTTGCATTGACCTCACTGGTCCTTTTTACCTTCCTAATATTGTAGAATTGACTCTAATTTTATGCAACTAATACAAATCCCTACCACTTTGGGGCAGTAGAGATACTGTACAATGTTGATAGTAATTCAGACTCATAGTACATTTTGAGTGATTCTCCAATCAATGTTGTCATAATTAAGAAATGACAGTCTTTTACATAATTATCACAACAGCATAAACTACCTCTCTAATTTTATTAATCATAGTGCTATAAATTGCCTTTTCACACATTTCCACATATCCAGGCTCCACATACTTTACCTTGCATAACCTTCAAAAGCTTGTGGAGCAGAAAAAAGTGGCAGGAGGAACAATTTTCTTAAATTACAGAAACACTACTGCAAATGCCAAGTATTTAGGAAAGCTTCCCACTTTACTGACCAACACACACACACACACACACACACACACACACAATATCTTCTAGCAATCATTTCCTTTTGTGTTTATTATAACATTCAGACCAAATATACCACTACCAAAAATTTGTATGTAAGGCAATCTCTTCTCCCAAAATCTAATATAATGGAAAACAGCAATCAATTCATACCTATTTTTATAGACAGTACTGGTGTACTGACAATAATATTGCCCAACATTATATCATCACACCATCTTATCACAGTCGACTTTCCTAACTCCACCTGGAGTCCTGAAAATTAAGAGACATGGTACACAGCCATGAACTTCTGAGGCTACTAGCCATGTAAAAACAGTTGCCCTCAGCCCTGTCTATGTAAAGTCAAATCCCTCTATCTCATTCTAAAAGCACATTCCAGATGACCCATAGTGAAATATTGGCAATTCAATAACCCAATATCTGTCTTTGTTGCTTGGGGTGTGCATGTGACAGGTTGCTAATGGGATCAGTATGGGAATCCTGATTCACTGGCATGTATATGGTGATCTAGTAATCCCATATTTTGCAACCCCACACATCTGAAAATTTCTATAAGTGGGACATATCTCTAGACTTATACTGGGCAAGAGACTACCTGATCAATCCACACCTTTATAGAATCTGGTACTGATCCAAATGAAAAATGCTCTGCACCACGGAATTGGAGGACAGTCAGCTTTATTATGCAGGTGGGCTGATAAGGGGTCATTCCCAAAGCATCAGCCAGAGACAATTTTGGACTCAATTGATGTAGATTTTGCAAGCAGGAGATACAAAAACTTAAAGGCGTGATTAATTTTTGTTGGATCCCATCAGTTATTATGGGTTACTGGGCATAAAGTTTTTGAAATAAGTGAGCAAACAGGGTGTGATGGGGGCTGGAAAGTGCAGGTTGTGAAGCTGGGAGCAGTGAGGCTGAGCCTGGTGATGTTAGCTATGGTGAAGTCCAGGCTGAATGCGTCTAACAGAGGAGTTTCAAGGTGGGCTGCATGATCTCCTTTTGTCCTCATGTGATGTCAGGCTACTAGTTGATTCTTAAATTTTAAACTTTTTCAATTTTCCAACACAATCCCAGATCTCATTGATAATGTTCTTTGTGTTAATTGCCAAAACCAAAAGTCAATGAACAAGTGTCACTAGAAAATTTTTAATAAATCCAATTTCCTGAACTTACAAGTCTGCCTTCCCCTAAACTCAGACGAAGAATTCAATCATTGAAAACTGAGATTTTACCTGCATTATGGCCCCATCACAGAAAACCGTATGATTCTTTCTGCAATATACTTCAAGCAAAGTATCTCCTCTTGCAATATCTTGCTGTAGAAAATCCTTATCAATTTCAGGACAGTTTTAAATAAATATTATTTCCATTATAACAAGAATTTCTAAGAGGAGCATCAATAGGTTCATATTAAAGGATAAAAGAAAGAAAGAAGGTAAATGTATATGTATACATACAGGATAGCTTGGATAACTATACTGCTCTTATATGTTGCTCTATTGAGAGTAGCCATTAATTCTCAAATTTTCTATTTTAATTTCATATAACTTTTTCAAAATGAAATTTACATGCTTACACTTGGTAATATAAACAACTAATTTGAAGATAAAATTGAGCAATATAACAACCACTGCTGAATTCCTATTATAATGTATAGTGCAATTCTGTACTTTTCCTAGTGTTTTTTAACTACTTTTAGTGTCTTTCAAAAAACAAACTTAAAAAGATTCAGGGGATATGTGAGGAATTCATTCATAAGGTCAAAGAGGTTGCATTTGCACTTTCTCTAAGAAACATAAAAGACTACACAAGAAAATCCAAGTAAAACACGGCAGTTGAAGACATCAAGAAACACTCCAGCATTTTCAAGGCATGAATCTAATGGAATATGGTTCAGAATAGGGTAGTAATATTCTAGGAGGCTAAACATCATTGACTCTTAAAACCACACATATCTAATAAAAGATGAGGCTCTACATTCCTCAGACACTCCACTTTCCAGCTCCACTTTCCTGAATACATCAGTCTCTACCTTCATTCTAAAGGGAATCCTGCAGAGCCCTCTGAAGGACCAGTTTAAGACTCTTGTGCTTCTGATTAAAGGAGCCAATTAAGAAGTAAATGATGGGGTTGGCACAGCTGTTAATACAGGATAGTATAATTGTGACAGAAACAAGTTGTTGAGTAAGGAAGTAAGGAAGATTGACTGGAAGCCACCATAGTAGGAAACAGTAAATTCCAAAGGGTAGGCCACAGATGAGGTAGACCAGGACTGTGAGGAGAATGGTAACATAGAGCCTGGTAAGAGTCATCCGTCTGGAACCATAAAAGATTCTGACCACCAGGACTAGGCTGGACACAGATAGAATTAGTAGTAAAAAAATAAGCCATGCAACTATGATAATATCAACCATTCTCAAGATATAAAAACCAAAAGTCTCATTAAGCAAACCAGAATAGTAATATTTTAGAAAGCTGAATAACAGGGACAGGGTCCAAAGTAGGGCACACATGACAGCTGACATATGTTTTGGACGGTGGCAGCGGTACCAGATGGGCCATAGGACACAGAGGCAGCGCTCTATGCTAATGGCACTGAGGATGCTCAGACCTGTGATATATGGAAAAAGTGCTATGTAGAGAAAGATAAAATAATTTCTATCACAGTAAATGTAAAGCAGGGAGCTAATAAACTGGCAGCAGAGGAGGAGGAAGTCAGATACAGCCAGGTTGAGAATATAGATTGAGATGGCGTTCCTGTGCATGCAGCATCCCAGGAGACTGATGACCACTCCATTTCCTGCCAGTCCCACCAAGGCAATGATGATAGTCAGCAGATCTTTGATCAAGTTGGCATGACAATACTGAAATGAGGGCATGTCTTCATCCACTCTTGGGGATATCAACCCATTTGTTGTTTGTGTTGTTACACTCACAAACTCCTCATTGGAGTACCTGAAAATACAAACAATTTTGAGAACATGAAGTATGGTAACTTATTCTCAGAACCACCCTGTTATATGAGATTCATTGTTCAAATTCTAAAAAAAAAAGGTTTATAATGATTAAGTAATATATCTAGAGCTTCTGGTCCTGGATTAACTAGTACTAGATATGATCACTGTCTTTATTGACTCTAAAGACTGATCTTTCTCTTCCAACAACAAGTTTGCTAAGGTACCAAGGACCTGAAAAACATGTCCCTATAGGTTGGGGTGATGGACCCAGCAATATTCTACCCTGGACCAGAAATATTTTTCTGATTTGCAAGAATACATTAGGATATAAAAGAAATTGTAGCAACAGCCCTACAGTTTCCTTCATGAGAAAAACAGAAAACCTGTCTATGGAGCTGTAAGTGAATATAATCTCTGTCTGGAAGAGTTTGAGGATGGTTGGGCCTTGAGAGCTAGAAATCACAATCCATGTCAGCCTTGAAAAAGGGAGCACATTTGTATTCCCAGGGCTCAATGTTATGTCACATTTTGTACTGAATATTTCTCTAGGAAGTAATGGAAATCATGAGACTCCATATAGTTGCAGTTGATTCAGGTTAAATGTGGAAAAATGAAATAATATAAAACATATATAACATCTTAAGAAGATTTCACTCACCATAGTTCTTGTAGACATATCTGTGCTTACAAGAATTGCTTGTGTGCCCAAATATCTAAAGTTGACCACTAAACTGCTTTCAAAATGAGGATTAATCATGGATTTTTTTTTTTTTCAGAACTGGGGATTGAATAAGCATGGATTCACCTAGGAATTAGAAACATCTCAATTTACAGAGGAGGGTTAAATTATACCACAGCTTAGAAGAATTGGGGATTTATAGTGATGTCTAATGGTATCAAGTAGTGAGTTATATTGGCATCTCTGTATCGATCAAAAGAAGTATTGGAAATATGGCAATGGTCATGCGGAACTATCAAGTCAGGCACTATGCAGTGTACAACAGAATCCTGCTCTACTCTATCCTGTTCATTGTCTCTCAGAAGATGTTCTTGGTATAGTTCCTTTGGTGAGGGCTTTTACAGAAAAGGAGTCACAAGGACAAAGCAAAGAAAGACAGGGTTTGTAATATGAAGAGTGATGTTTATGAACATACCTAGCACAAAAAGAGGACCAGCCTGCAGCTGCATCAGCAACAGCAACTGAGAGCTCATTAGGTATTGTCTTTTTGTTGTTGTTGCTGTTGTTGTTCTTTTTCTTTTGTTTGTTTATTTGTTTGTGTGTTTGTGTGCTTTCTGTATTTAAGGCAGGGTGTACAAGGCATTCAAGGCCTCACTACTAGATTGGACTCATAGTGATTCTCCTGCTTACAGCCTCACAAGTTCTGGGATTACAGGTGCTTGCCACCACACACAGTCTCAGTTGCCATCTCAGTGGGCTCTAGGGGTGAGACCTGCATGGCAGGCCAGGGGATCGAACCTCTGTTCCTCCATCTCTCTAAGCAGGTGCTTTAATCCGCTGAACTATATGGCGGGCTCTTGGGCATTGTCTTTTAATCATCTCAAGTCCCTAGAAGGAAAAATTTGTATTTTTCTATTTTGGAGATAATGGAATTAGGGACAAAAAAAAAGGAATTTGTACTTCGTCTCAACACATGGATTTGGATACAGTACATCTGCCCTAGGGGCTACCCTTTGATTGTGCCTTTGACCTATGACCACTGTGTGTCAGGTATAAGGAAATAAAACAAAAGTAGGGAAGTAATGCCAAGATGGCCGTGACTCATCCACATGGCTGACACTGACAAAGGTTCTACAATCTGAGGTACAGGATCTCAGGATAAATCCTGAGGGGATTTCACTGACCTTATCAGACCCAAAAGCTACAACTCTTGTTGCATAGGTCCTGCTTTACCTTGGTCTTAACCATCCAGTAGAAAAGTATAAAAATGAAATATGAGAAGTAAAGCCATGCTGTTTTGTTGAGCTGTGGGGGACTCAGGTCAACAATTTCTGACATTGCCAGTTAAACAGAAGACCCAATACTATTATGGGCTACTGGACTCTTTTAGAATATTTTGCTGAGTTTACACACCTATAATATTAAAATAACGGAACTTAACAAAAAAAGGATATACAGATGAATGTCCATTTTGTATCTGTGTATTCTAATTGGTTAGGATAGATATATAGTTACATTCTCTTAATGAATGGAGGGATTTGTTCTAATGGTGTTTGCAAATAGGATATCATGTCTGCATCTTGTACAGCAATTAGCCACTAGGAAGAATGTATGCAATGTATTAATTATTGAAACTGTCCTACCAATTTGGTTTGAAACTGTCTCATTGCTATTTGTTTCTCAATAAAATTATGGGAAAAAGATAAAGTTAACAATAAAATTTTAGATGAAACATAAATATGGTATAGGTAAATTCTATAAACAAAGATAAAGAGAAGATAAACAGAGCACTGGAAGCAATGGCATAGAATTCAAATCTCAACAGACTATAGAATCCAAGGACCCTCGCTTGTCTCAAAAGGCAGTTATCAAGGCCAGGGAGATGGCTCAGTAAAATAAGAGCTTCCCTGGCAAGCGCTAGGGCCTGTTCAATCCCTGATTCTGAAAAACAAAAAAAGTAGTGAAGGCCTTAAGATTCTGAATATACAACTGAGCCAGACATAAACAATTGGAAAAATAATGTTTCTCTGACTTGAAGAGAGACATCCAGTGTTACTGCATCCCCATGTATTCCCTGAGAAAAACAAGCGCCTGCACTTCTGGCTGATTTCAAGTACAAATGGGAGGAAATAGAAGTTCTATCATTTCCATTAAGACGTGTATTAATGTGAGCGCCTGTTTCTAGGGTGTGATGTCTACCTCATCACATTTGAAGCTACATAAAAAGATTATTTCTGGATTTTTTTTATTTCTGTACCCTGAGATTTGACATGTACTCCTTAAAGGTAATCTGCTGTGGTGTACTCCCTTAACATGGGAAGAAACTGAGTGCTATGGTTTATGTCTAGTTTCCCCCTCCCCCCAAAGCCTCATGCAGTCATGGGGAAGATTTCTGGAGGGTGTGATTAATTCATGATCTAATGCTGGGATTATGGGTGTGGGTAATACACCCACCCTGGGGTGGATAGGCTGAATGCAATAAAAGGAACAGAGACAGGTTTCTCTCTACCACTGTTCTTCCCTTTTTGTCTATTTTTGTTGTTTTCTATTGCCATGAACTGCTATCATCTGCCATGTGCCATTCTACCTTCAAGCCAGTTACTTTCCCTGACATTTTTCCAAAAGTACTGAAATCATCATACCACAGTGATATATGTGCACTCATGTGTATAGTAATTTTTCATAGCTAATTTTTCATAGTGCAATTTTTCATAGCTAAATTTTGGAAACAACACTAATGCACACCAGGTGAGGAATGGTAAAAATGATGTGGCATTTTTACACAATGAGCTGCTACTCAGCTATAAAAAAGGGTAAATTTGAAGCTTTTGTAGATAACTGGATGCAATTAGAGACTGTATTGCTAAGTGAAATAAATCAGACCTTCATGTGCAAACATTCTTTTGTCTCACTAGTGTGAGAACCTGTAAGAGTAAATAAAAGATACAATGCATATGGTGAAAGGGAAAGAATTTGCTCAAAGGAAAGTAAACCTGGGATGAGAGAGGGGACAAAAGAAAGAAGGGAAAAAAGATACATCTAGGTAAATATGCAGGATAATTTGGATCATTGTACTGCTATTTTCTGCTGGTCCCTTGAACAGAGAAGTTAATGCTGACTTTTTTCTTTTAATTCTTTTTTTGAATTCTTATAGCATTTTGTTTTTGTTTTTGTTTTTGTTTCAGTTCATCTCTTTTAAACCAATCTTGCAGATTTATATTTGGTAATCTAAACAACTGATTTGAAGATAATGTCATGCAATAGAGCAATCATTTTTGAAGTCTTATTAGTTTGGTTAGTGAAATTTTGTATCATTAATAAGGCACTATTTTTTAATATTTTCTATTTGAAAATGGGCAAATAAACTTTTGCTTCCTTAATTCCAGGTGTTTGGTGTTTTATTCCAAGAAACTGATGTGCAAATTGATACTTGAATATTTCTGTGAACGTATCCTAACACATGCACTATGCAGTGTGGAGAGCCTTGTAAAAGTCTTTTCAACTGTTCTCTAGGAGGTCAATTTTTAATTTTTGAGGATCTCTCAGAACACATTATCTGAATCTATGTCTGAGATGAAGTTAGAAGTCTGAAACACAGGGGCCTGGAGTTCAGTCCCCTCACTTGACTGGAACTGCCCCAGAGCATGCTGAGGACCATTGGACTGGGTGTGGGTGCCTGTAATACCAGCACTTGGGAAACTGTAAACAGGAAGATCCCTATGAGTCCAATCTATACAGTGAGATACTGTACTCCCTGTACACACTGTCGTCAATAAATAATAATAAAATAAATTTGAAAAAAGACGCCTGAGAGACTTGTACTACCCCCCATATCTATTCTCCTCTTTTGTAATACAGTAATTTTCCGAATTTCAAATAACAACAAAAGGTGTAACACTTCTCAGACATCACTGATTCTGGATTGGACCCTGTGGGAATAAGATAAGAGTAGTGTAACTAACTCTAGAGTAATGGCATTAATTGACAAGGAATAGTTTCTTCTCCTCTGTTTCTTCCTCAAGGCTGCAAAGCTGATGCACTAGGGTTTTTATGGGATCATGGGAGTGGTGGTGCCTCTGTAGGGATTGGGAAGTAACAATGTGAGGAGTCTTTAAGGTTGCTGCCTTGGATCCTACAGAAATGTTCTAAAAGATTTCCTGATCAAGTCATTACTCTATTTGTGAAGCCAAATATATGCTTTCTCTAATGGAGAACATTTTATCTTCTTTAACACACATTCAGTGCCAAGGCATTTTTGATCAAAAAGGTGAATGTTCCACAAAGGTGAGAGTAAAGGAAGAAGCCACAAATAGGGACAC